GCGTTTCGCGGGGTCGCCGGCTTCCCGGCCCCCTTGCCGCCGCCGCGCCCCTTCCCGCCACCCAGAGCATCGAAACCCTTTGCCTTGCAGGTGTCGCAGTACCACTTGCCCTTGGGCACTTCGGTGAGCGGGGGGTCGAGGCAGTACGTGTGGTACTCGTCGTCGCAGTGCTCGCAGAGCAGGGCGAGCTCGGGGTCCTGCTTGCCGTAGCACTTCCGGCACGAGCAGAGCGGGCACATCATCACCTCGTCGTCGTCCTGGCAGAAGGCGCAAGCGGCGGTGTTAGCCCCACGCCCGCCGGTCCCTCCTCCCCCTCCTCCCGCGGCTCGCCCGGCCGCTTCTCGACGGCCCCCGACCCCGGCGACGCCTCCGGCGACGCCTCCGGCGCCACCAGTGCCGTCCGACGCGCCGGGCTCGGACCCGTCAGTCGGCTGTATGCTCAGGGCTCCGGGGGCGGCGACAGTACCAGCAGCTGCGACGGACATCGCGGTGCAGCGCGCGCGGTGTCGGGGGCGAGTGAGAACGACGAAGCTGTGGTTCGAACTCGACGTCAGCGGACTTTCATGCAACAGACAAGATGAGGTGAGCACTGATAGGAGTCCGTGAAACAACGTGTTACATATGCATATACGCAAGGAGCACTTCTATCCAACCCGTCTGCGTAAATAAAAAATGTTGCACACACTAACAGGTATGTACAGCACGCATGATATCAACAACGCCTGAGCCCGCAAAGGTTACAACGCGACAGTGATTCCTCCATCCCATGCTAAAGCGTGAATCACGTCGAGCCTCCCACTTCCACAACTCGGGAAATGGACGCCCCCCATACTCTCGCCCTCTCTGCCTCAGACACACTCACACTCGTGACCCTGAGAGCTGTAAAATCCTGTTCCTTTCTTCCCCCGCTGGCACTGACATATTTCCATTGGCTTGCCGCGAAATAGCGAAGTTCATGTAAAACCGTAGCATGAACCCCCCCCCCCCACACACACACACACATATACACGTCGTACGGTCTATGACCTTCAACCGTGACACAAAGCAACATGCGCGAACCTGTCTTGGGCGGTGCCTGCGCGCTCTCCGGAAAGTTCAGCTTGGCCTTGGTGCCATCCGTGGCCTTCACGTGCCGGTCGTAGCACCTCGCCGCCTCGTCGGCGGAGGCGAACTTCCCCAGCGTAAGCCACTCCTTCGTGCCGTGCTTGTCGAAGTGGGTCACCACAAACATGTTGTTGGCCCAGTGGACTCCCCGATATCTCAGTGCCTGAAAAAAAACAGAGCCACCATGCGCGACGGGAGCGGGAAAAGAGGCGGCGGCGGCGGTGGGACAACACGGCAGGAGGCACGCAGCGCAAAAATGAAAAAATACAATCGCAACCCCAAAAGAGAATTGCACAATATCTACCGCAAAACGGAAGCACGTCACATACGACGAACAACCGTAAGCGCGGAGAAAGCGTGAGGGGGGGGGGGGGGTTGCATCGGATAAAAAAAAAATGCCTTAAAACTTGCGGTATCTGTAGCGGGAAGGGGCACATCAAATAAACTCTCCTGTTGCCAATAAAGTGCTGAGGGATGAAGGGATGACACCATATGTGCCCCGCAAACCCGGCCGCCGCACACTACCGCAAGCGCCTAGCTTTCCAAAGTACGCTGTCCTAGCGGGCGAACGGCGCATTGCCTTCCCAGAGAGGGTTGTTTCTGAAGATAATTGGCGACAATAAAAGAGGCAGACAGCTCTCCAAATAGGGGAGCACTACTATATTTCTAGGTCAAGGTCTTCCCGGCCTAGCGCTCAATAGGTGGCATGACTCGAGTACCACGTTGCATGCGGCAAGATGGCGCAAGAGCGCCAACAAAAACGGTCTGGCGCGGAAGAAACCACACAGCAGTGTAGTACAACACGGACAGCAGTACAAGAAGTGTTTCACAACTATCCAAGCGGAAAACAGAGTGAAAACCGGACGGCATCGCATCGCACCGCCTCGCATCGCTTCGAGCGGAACCTTACCTTCTGCTTCTCGTCGACAAGCGTGTCGCCCCTCGTCTCCGGCATATACATGTTTTGAACCCTTCGCATAGCCGCCACGTTCCGCTGGGCTTCTGCGCGGTCCTCTGCACACACGCACGCGGCCCACAACAGCCGCCGTCGCCGGCATCACCCAACGCACATAGCACAGAAAAGAAAGAAACCCAAGCAGACAAGATTACGTCGTCGGTGACAAGCGGATCCGAGGTGACACATATTTCAGGACATTCTGCCTATTTTATAGTCTCTGTGTGTGTGCTATGTTGGAACAGTTCTCGAAGCCTGCGCGTCACCTCCCTGCACTTCTTCACAGGTCCATGGCAGCGTAAATTACACTCGTGGTATATACCTAATGCCGCTCCAAACAGGGTGCCAGGGTGCAGTCACTCACGGCAGGCATAGCAATACGAAACAACGAGGCACCTCCCCCGTCTCCCGACGACGCCTCCTCACGATTTGCACCCGGTGTTGGGGTGTCACTCAAGCGCACGCGCCCCGGGCTCTTATTGAACTACGCATAACAGCACAAAAACACAAGCTCACACTGACAGCACCAACGGACCGACAGAACAAGACCGCCCACACACAAAACACGTCACGTCAAAGGTGCGTACGCTCTGGGTGTCACTCTCCCAAACAAGACTACCGAGAAAAAACGAAAGGCGGTAAGGCCTTGCGGGCGATCAAAAGCTCCCGCTGATCCGTAGGAACAACAACAACAACAACAACAACGGTCCTGCGCAGGTCAGTGATCACCCGAAAACAGCGTACCAGGTGGGACGTGAGTGCTGTCCGCCACGCAGAACTGGCAGTTCCAGTCTCCCGCAGGCACCTCCTTGAGCTCCGGACGGTGGCACTTGGTGTGGAACACCAACGAGCACGTGTCGCAGCACAGCAGGTCGCCCCCGTGCGAGCACACCTCGCACAGATCGTTGTGGTCCTGGTAGGGGTTGGGGGGACGGGTCGCGTGCGTGACAAGGACACACGAGCGCATCGAGCGGACAATGGGGTAACCGAGAGATAGACAGAGGGCGAGAGAAGGGCAGTGGACAGAGAGATCGTAGACACGGGGGGGGCGGGGGCGGGGGGCGTTAGAAGGTGTGGTTGAGTAAAGGCAGAGGAAAAACGCCAAGAGAAGTTGCTACACAACCCGAGGTGCCAAACGTGTTCAGAGCACAAAAGAGGACTGAGGTATGCAGAAGGATACCGTCAAAGACGGTGCTTATTCCCACTCGCGGGTTTCCGCAATGGGAACGGAAAAACCATACCCCCCGAAGCTAAAAATCACGAATACAATTCAAAGCGAAACCACGCTCGGCAGTCAAGGAAGAAGATATGAAACACCCCGCCGTAGAGTGGACCACACTATATGCAAGGAGAGTGCGCAACTGCTGGAAGGCACGTCGTACTCCTTTGGTAGACTCTACCACAAACGAGAGGGTGTTGACCTACACATGCATACCACACCTTACCAAAAAGACCATGACGTGATCACCCGTGGTGTCGTACGCACCGGCGTCGTTACAGTAAGTATGTTACACGCTTACAGGACTTGAGAAACAGCTGGAAATAGTAAATTCCACATGGGAGTTTGACATTGGTCTTGGCCTTTGTAGCGTAGGCTCAAGAATGATTCTGCAGCAATAAGCAAACCAGGCGGAAAGATCACGCGATTTCAGGTAACATCTTGAGCAACTTAGGTCTTTTGGCTTCAAGGCAAACTTGCTCGTAATCATGTCAGGCACGCGTCGTAAAACTATAGAGTAAAAAAAAAGGCGATGCTGAGTTTTGATATGTTTCAAGTGCTGGCAACCCACCAGTAGCCGAGTATCGCTACCATGCGCAACGCGGGCCTGCGTTGCCCAATACCAGTGCACGAGCGGTACACTGCTCGGTAAAACAGAATGACAATGTTCACAGGTCTTCCTTCCGGTACCACTGGTTATCCGAAAGGACAGCAGCGGCATCCTCGTGCTGTGTGCTTGCCACCCGACGGGAAATATTCGTGCTCAGTTGCTTCGATTTGGGGGGGTGGTCTTCTGCATGCAACAAACAGTAACATTTACTGCTCATCAGTCATGCCGTACATACGCGCGTGAAGAAGTGAAAGTCAATCTGTCAGACGGCGACAGCTTTGACGAACGAATGTATGTACAGTATGTAATCGAAACCATCGAGGTACATGGTCAGTTCCTTGCTGCTGGTTTGACTGAAGCGCAATAACCAGAACACGTAAATTGAATGAGCTTTGAATCTAGACTCGCACAAGAGCATTGGAATCGCATGATCACACCGGCGCCCTCACCCCCCCGTATGTACGTGGGTACATTAATGGGCCGGCCGAAACCACAACCTGCCATTGTCATCTCTGGCTGCACCACCGCCGTTAGTATGTATGCATAGGTAGCCCGGAGGAACACAGAAATAGTGTCATTTTTCTCTAAACCTCAAACTCCGACAACGGCGGTAGATTGGGAGCTACATGCCGTGTTGACGGTGCTTTACTACCGGTAGTGCGCACATCGCCGCTAATCCGGGGACAAAAAGATAGCGGGCACTACTGCGGCAAGTACACGGAAATCGCTCTATTGTGACGTTCAACAACAGCAGACAGAGCACGGCGGTCGCAGGCGAACAACAGGGGGGGACATGCTCAAGCAGACTACACCCGAGATAACAAAGAGACCTCCGCGCCCCTTCCACGAAACACCTACTTGGTACAAAAGTACTTCGTCGTCCATCGGCTATTGTATGCGTAAGTGTGAAGTCTTTAGATTCAGCTGGTATTCTGGCAAATGGTCAACACGAAAAGGTGTGCATGTGGTAGAAAGAGCGAATTGGCCAGATGTGCTATCTACTGATGTGCCGGCTGTAGTCTACAGCATTAGTTCGGCGACACCTTTGGGAGTGAGAATAGTTGCTGGCAATCACACCATCTCTGTTGTGGTATCCGAGAGAAAAACACGGGGTTATCATCATCCATCCCTCTCTCAAGCGCTCTGACATAACCACACACCCCCACCGCGCAAAACTCATCGTCTCTACTCTGCCTTTATGCTGCATTTGCTTGCCTCTTTCCACTCGATCTGGATCCCTGGCGCAGCCTCTAGCCCGGCGCCGCCGTCTCCAAGCCCCCCCCCGCCGCTCAACTTCTCCTCCCCTCCCACCGCAGACGATCCCCTCAGGCTCCTCTGCCTCTTGCTGTCGTTCCTCGACTTCACCCCGTCCGCGAAGGCCTGGTCCAGCCGGAGCTCCTCCCTGAGCGACTGGAGCACGCCCCTGTGCGAGTCCCTGATGCCTCCGGGCTGAGCGGCGAACGCGGTGTAGAGCGTTTCGTACGCCGCCCGCGACGCGGCCGCGTGTCGAGTTACGCTTTGGTCCACCCGATCCATACGCCCCGCCGGCGTGCGTTGCACCGAGGTCGCCCTTTCGAGCTTGACCCCCTCCCTGGCTTCGTGAAATTCGGGGCCCTCTCTCGGATCTCTAAAACGTCTAAGAAGCAGAGGCCAAAGCAAGCAGTTTGCTGTGGTCTAGCCGAGAGCGTTCAATAATATCTCGAGCGGCCACGCTGCCGCAGCTGCTGCAAAAAAAATGACGGGCCTGTTGCCCGCCCGTCCTTTTTTTGCTGTCGCCGTCACGCTCGGCCTCTCTACGCAAACACACAAAATACAATCGCAGGCCAACCCCTTCAACCCAGTCGCCTCTTTGTCTCTGTCTCTCTCGTTTCGATCTTCCAAGAGAATCTCTGTGACACCAACGTGCCGCCCCCGCCGCGTGTGTCCCCTTGCCCCCCGCTGCCTCGCTCCGACTTTTTTTCTGAGATCAGCAATTTGGAGAAACGCCTGTTTTCACGACATAGGGGTAGGGGGGACGATTCGAACCCCTTGATGATTGTTCCAATTGATTGTTCAAGGGATTGTTGATTGTTTGATTTTTTCTTCGAGAGACACGGCGGTGGGGGGGACTGAGGTGCTGGGCGAGGTCACGGATGCTTTTCCGGTGACGAAAAAACAGCAACAGTAATATCCTGGGCGAAAGGACGAAAGGACAGACAAGACCATGCAGGAGTAGGTCACAATTTTATGTGTGTCTAATTTCTTGATAATTTCAAGTTTGCCCAAAGGGCGAATATATGGAAACCCAGGGGATACGAAGAAATTGCCCCCGGGTGTGGATGGTCGTGTAGGCACTGTCCAGTTCACGGCAAGGCACCCCAACCAACACCATGGTAAGCACGCGTCGTTGCCTGAGGAAGCAGAGGATGGCAATGGGTAGCGTTGGTTGTGAAGCCTTCGTCTTGGGTCGATCGTCGAGCGCGATGCTTGACTCTCAGGCGTTGCTGTGTTCGTTGGCAGGACCGGCGAGCACCGCCAAACCAGAGGCTTTTCAGGCTTTCCTCTGGCTTGCCTCTGTTGGCAACCTAGTTGCGCCCTGGGCGTCTATGCCCTGCTGGCGAGCGGAATTCCTTTCGTCAGCAGGAATCTACGCCTTTGCAATCTATCGACATCCCCAGTTTTGTATTGGCCAGACAGCCAAGCTAGAGCAAAGCAGGTGTCCTCTCCAAGAAAAAAAGTTGGAGGGGAACGTGCCGCCTCTGTGCGGAGGGGCGAGCACCTCTCCCTGTAATAGTTGTGATGAGTGAGCAACCATCCTGCACTCCACCAGAGACACACACGGGCCACAGGCACGATGTCTCCTTGGCAATCACCGCGACGTTGACATCTCGCCGAGCGCCGATAAGCTAGGTCCGATGCGTAGCAGCGGCCTCTCTCTCGGACATCAGAGGGCACAATTGTGACCACCCACACTTCAAAATCAAGACAAACAAACCCTTCGCCCTTCCCTGCAGTATTGCGTGTTGTGGCGAGAAGGGAGGGGGAGGGCGAGTAGCTTGCTCCACAGCAGCTGTGCATTATATTGCTGGTCAACCTTGATGCCATGGTAGGGTATTTCGCCTGTTTGAGATGGTGGCTACATCGGTTGGAACACAGTTTTGCCGTCATCTGCCCCAAATATGTCTCACCCGAACAGCAGCAGTATACTAAACACTACCAGTACGTAGTTCACAGAGATGGATATCCTCACCAGCTTCTGTGGGAGGTGAGGTGCCCCATGTCTCCCTCACACGCCAGCGTTGGAATGTCACTAAGAAAGCTTATTAAAGAACTTACCCGCTCTTTCCGTGGATATTACAGTAAGTGTCGAAGGTCGCGGTTTGTGTCAGTAATCGCGCCGTTCTACTACTGCTGCTGTGGTGTGGCCAAGCTGGCAAACTCAACGAGCTGACACCTGCTGCACCTACCGAGAGATTCCGTGCGTTTTGCACAAAGCTTTTGGCGGATGCCTGCTTGAAAATGTATCAATGCACACCACGTCATTGTACATGTTGTTATTGTATACCAGTGTGCTGTTTATGCTTGTAGATACCGTGAGAGCAAACAGCGTTGTACTGCGGTGGACTCGCGCCATGAATATCCCCGCTTGAACTTGTGTTGTCCGCCCCCTCCCCCATCCCACCCGTCCCCCAAAAAAATGCTGCTGCTGCTGCAGGGTAGGCGCACGAAGAAGGTGGGAATCACCGGGAAGTACGGTGTCCGGTACGGTTCGTCGCTCCGTAAGGTCATCAAGAAGATCGAGGTGAGTTCAACTTTCTAAAGTTCAAGTTTACAAAGTGTCAAGACATACATGCAAACGCGTGAACTACGGCCGCGGTTGAACGCCACCTGACGCAAATGACCGGGAGTTTTGATTTCTTTCTGCATGCACAGCCCGCAAGGGAGGGGAATCGAACATGCAGCGGCCGAGTAGTTTGGTTCCGAGGTGCGGGCAGGAAGAATCGGCGGGTGTTGCATTGCCTGCAGTCCGCCTGGCGTCCCGCATCTACAAAGCGCTTGGCAGTTCGAATGCCACTTAAGGAGGGCATACTGTAGGCACTCGGCAGCGATGTTATCCTTGCGCCATTATTTTCAGCAGCGATCAGAGGATGGACAGGCACGATGGCTTGTTGTTTCCCTTCGGCAACGTTCACGCGTGCAGGGGACCAAGCTCAATCTAATAGCGTTTTTTACCTTGTCTCCATAGTCTTGCATAGCTCGTAGTTGTTGGAAGATTCCCAAACCGTGGTTCCTTGTCACACCTATGATATGATGGGACATCCGACGTGGGCGCGTCACGTACAATGCGCGTACAGTACTGTAAGACAGTCGCACGGTACGATCATAACCTCATGGTTTCCCCTACACGAAGACCTTGAAGAAATATACAGCAAGAGTCGTGCGCGCTTGTAGGCGAGCACGGCAACATGTAGACACGAGTTGTGGGCAACGTGAAGGAAGCTTGCGCAGGTACAAAGAGGCTGGGGAAACCCCTGAGGCCAGTCTCCATATCAACTGCGCATACATCAACCGGGATTCCTTAGTGGGGATCCCAAGTCGGACTAAAAGCACTCGTTCGCCCTCGAACTCACGGGCAGCGGGCCGTTGCGTTCGCAGACATTCTTTTGGGTTTTTGTGTTAGCTTTTTTCACTGCGATCAGCGAAAGTGTACCGTGACGCGTCAATACCCATCGCCGCCGTTGCTCATCATGTGCATACGACACACAGTCGCGCCGCTCCTATCTAAACATATGTAGTTGTTTCAGCGCTTATCCGTGGAAAAATTGGTTGGGTAGTAGGTCGGTACGCGAACCGTCGGTCGTCTTTTTCGCCTCCCCCGCTGCCGCTGCGCGACCAGAAGCCCGTCTTGTTGGTTTATTGTGCCGTCGTTGGTTGGGATTGTACCAGAGTGACAAGTGCTCGTTCAGTCCCCACCCACCCACCCACCATCTCGAGGGTCTCACAACTGCTGCTGCTACTTGTCGCTGCCGCGATTGCGCAGATCACCCAGCACGCCAGGTACACGTGCCCCTTCTGCGGAAAGGACACGGTCAAGCGAATGGTGTCCGGAATCTGGAAGTGCTCCGCCTGCGGGAAGATCTCTGCGGGCGGCGCCTACACGCTCAAGTGGGTGTCTTGTTCTTCTCTGTACATATTATAGTATGATGTTGCATTTGTGTCCTGACACTTACAAACAACAGCTATTATATGGTGTGGTGAACCCTGTTCGTGGCGATGATTTTTTCTCAGCGTAACACAACGGGCCATCTATATGCGCAGATAAGAGTCGAAGAGAAAGTTGCAATGAATCCATATAATAGCGTCAGCGAACGCTACCCGTGTGTCTACGTTTCCGATTTGCTACCGATAGATTTTCGCCTGGACAGACGATCAAAAATCCGTATGTCTTTGCGTGACGTCTTCTGCTTCGGCGGCGGGTATCCCGTAGACGGTCGTCTCAGCGAATGTTATCGCAGCATACGTACGTAAATAGTGTACTGCGTCAATACTTCGTATTTCGTCCAAAAGGCTGCAACTCTTACAGGCATGGGTAGATTATATCGATGTTGCTTGTATGTGTAGTGCACTCGTGCTTTCGAAGTGCAAAAGAAATGCTTTTGAACTGGCGCTAAAAGGGGCAAGTGTACGAAGCATCTTGCGCAGGTACTACGAGACTGGGGAAACCTTTAGGCCAGTCTCTATATCAACTGCGCATATATTAAACGGGGCTTCTTTTTTGGAATCCCAAGTCGGACTAAAAGCACTCGTTTGCCCTCGAACTCACGGGCAGCGGGCCGTTGCGTTCGCAGACAGTCTTTGCTCTCGTTGTTTTCTTTGGGGAAACCTTTGGTTGCCTCACTGGCTGCTGTGCTTGCGGTTGTGTGTCGAGTACGATGTTGTGACACTGGTATAGTTAACACTAGTGTTTTTGAATTTGCGTTTTAGTACTCGAGGAGGTGCTTGCATCAGTCTTGCAGTTTTTAACCCGGGCACCAATTTTCAAGAGGATCTCTTGCCCTGAGAAGCATGACAGCCGTGTCGCATGTGATGTTCGTACATTGCTGTTGCGTTGAAAAGAGTTGACTCGTGTTTTTTCGTCGGTATCAGTAATGTCGGTGGTAGTTTCTTGTTCGAGCCATGGTGACCACGGGTGGCGTTCCCGTGAGCTGGACCAGTACGGACATTGGCAAGGTACTCTGAGCGTAGACCGGGACGACTACTAATGTAAAGACAGCATCAACAACCCATTTCGGTTATTTCCCTTGGAGAGAGTATGAGCGAAAGAGGTACTCCCGAACTTAGAGACCAAAACATGTGTCCTTCAGTAAGAGATGCAAGCAACAACAACGGCAGCGTTCGGACTCTCATGTTTAACACCTGCGCCCTTCCTTGTTCCCTCCCTTCTTGCTTTCCCCCTCGCTCCCCGCCGCAAACGATGTGTTCTTATTTTATAGCACCCCCGCGGCGGTGACCGTGCGGTCCACCATTGCGCGCCTGCGCAAGGGCGCGACGGAGACTGGAAAATAATCTGTTTTTCCTGTTGATGTCGGGTTCGGATAGGAACGGAAAAGGTTCTGTGGATGGGGGTGCCAACTCTCTCGGGGTTTGATAAAATGCCGAAGTGAACCATTCTTACCTTTTTTTCCTGTTGTATTCGAGTGGCGTGGGGAATCCCGTCCTGATGCTGGGGCAGCGTTGATCGATCGACCCGTGCACGGTGGGATGCTCGCAGATGATGCTGTGCCTTGGCCGCTATTTTTTCGAGACGCGCGTGCGTCAGAAGCGGCCGCGCTTTGTTTCCAGTAAGGGAGCGGCGCCGTACTCTTGCCGCAAAAACCTCCTGGCGACCTCCTTGTGCTCGAGTTTTGGCTCTTGTGCTGCGTCACGCTGCGCACGTACTTTTTTGTGTGTGATGACGATGTCACCCTCGTGTCTCACCAAACACCGTGTGCAGTTCACCCGCACCATCCGTGCGCGCTTAGTCCAACTTGTTGAGGCGCACTGATTGGATGTGACGGAACTTCAGCACCGTTTTATTGGATCACAAGTTGACCTAGGCACGAGTATTTTACCGCCATAGTTGTACGTGTCGGCGGTGTCGACTTGTTCCCATCTATCAAAAACCCGATATGGCCAGACAAGCTTCACCGTTGTCTCTGTAGTACTGCGGTTGTGCGCACCGCGACTTTCTTTCTCACACAGGAATGACTGAAAACGAATGTCGCTACAGAATACTTGAGACACCTTCAGAGTGCCTCGGCACAGTGAGAAGGCCCTCTAGGTCTGACCCTTTCATTGTTCCACCTCTCTGATGTTCGGGATGTGTTGCACTGATTGCTGCCAGTGCCAATTTTTCCCCCTGACGCACGCATGCAGTCAGTGTCGCTGTTGATGTGCACGGCCCGCATTCAGAATACCGTATATGACACAAGATAACACACCCCCTGGACCGATTTTCAAAGCTCGACTACTCCACGACGAAGAGGATGCATAAACGAAACAATACATTTTCGAAAACCTCTCGACGAGACGGTTCCAACGCCGCCGTTTTCGGCGCTGTGACTCTTCCTGCTGTTGAGAAATCGAGCTTTGAAAATCGGCCCAGGGGGTGTGTTATCTTGTGTCATATACGGTAGGCCCAAAGACTTGGAGTCCACAACAATGTGTTCAATGTGGCGTGATCGAGAACGGTCGAGAGGATCACCCCACCCATGCCTACCTTGCACCACAAAGTGCAGTGGCACACACAAGTAAGGACGACAAGAAGTGAGCAGCCATCTTGTTTCAATCCGAATGGGATTGGTTTCTGCTGCGGAAACACGCAACGTATAGCTTGACCTTGGCCGATTTCTCAGCCCAATCACCCACGAAATGGGGACCCCGCATTGACTGGAGGCAGCCCTGCATGAAGAGTAGTAGGGCAATTTCCACACTCCGATGAGGGTTCGAACAACTCGCGGGCTTGGTCCACGCGTACGCATGTCGCGTGAGAAGATATATTACCACAGCCGATGGACACAGCATTGAAAGCTCAACTGTGTCGAGGCTGAGGCTGAGACGATCACAGGATTTTCTTTGTCGGAGAGCCCTCGACGAGACGATTCTACAGCAGTATATCGCCGTGGTTGAAGGGAAACTTCCTACAAAAGTATTCACCACCTCTTTAGTTGGAGGTAGTTTTTTTTTTCTCCCGCTGGCCCGTACGGATAGCAGCTCTTCCGTTCATTTCGGTAGGTATGCACGGATGCATAGGCGGGGCGGCGGGGGAGGATATATACCCCGATGGACGTCAAAAGCGACCCGAACCACACTGACTGTACTTGTTTCTTGGTTCGGATCCGGGGCGGCTTGCCGCAGCAGATCCTATCTGTTTTGAGCCTTTCGATCCGGATCCAATCCTCCGCCCTCTCCCAAGAGCTATATATTGGGAGGTGCTAGGTCACTGTACGTGTAAGCCAAAGTGTAAGCCTATGCCGCGGTACAAGCGCTACATAGGCTGGTCTACGTGAAAGGCTCAGCCGCGGCGCAAGAGGGGGTAAGAGCGAAGTCGCTGTAAGCTGTAGCACGAGCTTCACCTACCCAAGGAATCGTCCGAGAATCTTATTCGGACGGATGGAGACCACCACCACTGATCAAGCCGTAAGCCACACGCTGCGCCCCAAGAGAGAGGGAGAGGCACGGACTACAACCAACTCCAACATCGGATCTGGTGAGTGAAGAATTTGCAAGCACCTGCTCCGAGTTGTGGCCCAAAAGATAAGGGTGTACAGAAGCGCGGAAGATAGGTGAGGCGGGTTCCGCGGTCAAGACGAATTGGGTCTCCCGCGGCGAAAAAAACTTTTTTCAAAAAAACGCTTTTGGTTCTAAGTCTAAAACGACGTTTCAGCGCATAGAAAAAAGAGAAATAAAAAAAAATCAGTTCGGATCATGCCGAACTTTTTTTTTCGGCGCATTCCCGATCTCGCCGCCTCCATTTCTCCTCGGCAATCGACTCCGCTTGGCCGATTTAGGGGGGGTAGAGCCACTCAGAAAGTTGGTCTGACCAAAAGTGGCCGCGGGAGGGGGCCATATATGAGTGGGGCTGGGGCTGGAGCTGGCATCCCAGCGGGCAACTGCATCCGCATCGTACCGCTGGGAGACAAGCAGTGGAAAGTAACGCACCAATGGGTTCCACACGACCTAGGCCTCAAGCTCACCACCAAGCTGATGGACCAGCGGAAGGATACCCGCGTTGTCGTACAGCTTGTGGCCTACCCCAAGGATGACGAGGATGCCTTATGCTCGAAAGCTAGGGAAAAGGCCGAGGAAATCTTGAAGACGAGAAGGGACAGATACGAAAAAACACTGCAGCCTAGCAGCGGCGTGCGAAGATGCGGCAACACCGGCAGGAGGGCAGACAGCGAGATGAGCTGTCCAGTGAGAGCGGCGTTGCCGCGGAAGACTCGTGCTGGCGTTACAAGGCCGACTGCTCCCGATCGCCCCCCTGAGGAAGAGGTAAGAATCTGCTGCTGCTGGGTGCTGCTGGGTCTGTCTGCTGTCTTTCTCTCGCTATCCCCTCTTGAACCCCTCTCCTCTTCTGTTGTACTAGATGAAAAAACAACAACCTTGAGGGTACTGCTGTATGGGAAAACAAAACTGAAAGGTTGCCTGCATGTACTGGTACCACCTTTGGTTGTAGACTGCTGTCTGCTCTCTTTACCGTAGATGCCTGCCGACTGCTGAAGGTAACAACGAGTGTTCGCTGTGATGCGAGACTTCTTCTCTACCTCCAGAGTTGTGGATTGCTCTCGCTCGATGCGTTGTATGCCACCACTGGCGCAACTTCCGATTGCTGTCTACGGCGAGTGTACATTTGGTATTCGCATCGAAGTAAAAATTGAATCACAGGCTTTCATTCTTGATTTCTTCTGCTGCTACCCCAGCGCTGACGTTTCCAAATGCCCCCACTGCTGTACGTTGCACTTGACCCACCCTGCCGCTCAAACCTTCCAGCCACCAGAGCAATTCGAGTGGAGTGACACCTCGCCAGCATTCGTGGCGGCCATGAGAGCGATGACCACAACAGAGTTGTTGCGGTGTCTGGCAGAGCTCAAGGTGCCCGCCGCTGACAAGCTTCGAGAGCAGCTGGAGGAAGCGAGGGAGCTCCAATCGGCATGTCGTAGAGCCTTAAAGGATGCCGCAATCCAAGGGCGAACCAAAGAGGGAAGGAGAACGTTCCAGACGTTTGCTCACGGCTGTTGCGTACGATGGAGACGGGCCTTCGAAGGTGACAGCCAAGCGCAAGTCCGAGATCTTTGGCGTTCACCCAGAGCACCTCGTCGTCGCCCGACGGCGGGTGACAGCGCTGAGGCCTGAGCTCCCTCCACTTCAGGCAATCGACGAGAAGGCGTACTACTTCCACTCCCGGACCAAGAGGAGCGACGCAACCCCTCCAGAAATGCTGGAGCTCATGGGAACATTCTGGCACACCGACGAGGTATCTCGTGCATCGGGGAACTCCAAGGACATCTGGCGGGAATCCAAGTCGCCCAGTGCGAAAGGACACCCTCGTCGGCAGCTCATCGTGGAGGGACAGGGTGAGGCAGTCTACGAAAAGTTCTTGGTGTGGCCAGGTTGGATCAACTTCAAGAGGGTCTGGAAGGAGGAGAACGGCGAGGTCCTGGCGGACCCCGGCCGCACTCTGTTCCTCTCGACGCGGTGCAGGTGCTTGACTTCCCCGAAGACAGACCAGTGCGCGTGCAAGATCCACACGCAGCAAACTTATTACCTGGCTGCGCTTCGTGAGGTTGACGTGCAGGGGCGTGACGCGTGCAACTGTCGGTGGTGCAGCGTGGAGAATGGAGGCTCCGAGTGGAAGAAGATGTGGTCGAACCTTGGGTCTTTCTCGGAAGCCATCGCGTGCCCAAAGGTTGACCTGCGAGCTGGGGACCCCGACGCCACGGGTGAGTTCATGGGGCGGAAGCCGGAATGCGGTTCTTCGGACTGTGAGGTCTGTGGGTTCGGGCGGGAGGGGGGCATTCCCACGTGCAAGGCACTGGAGGAGTCTCAGCAGCTGGTGGAGTGGACGCGCTACGAAGATCTAGACAGGGAGGGGAAGAAACCGCTGCCGAACCAACTAGTGACCAAGGAGGGCAAGCTCTGCGATCTTTGGAGGGATTTCAAGCAGCACAGCAAGGTGTACATGGATCACCACACGAAGGCCATGTGGGGGAGGAACTGCCACAGGGAGGACATGTACACGTTCCCAAACGGCGACCTGGTTATTGAGGTGGACTTCATCGAGAAGTTCGAACATGTCCCTCCATCCGTTCTGACGTGTGCGAGACACGAATCGACCACCCTCATGGTCGCAGTGGTACACTTCAGCCCGCAAGTGTTGGAAGGCGGCGGCAGGGTGCACCTCACCGAGACATGGATCTTTGCTTCCGAAGACCCTCGCCACGACTTCGACTTCCACCTCCATGGGATGCGTCAAATCGCCGATCACTACCTTGACGGAGACGGAAGCGCAGCAACTGCGGCCGCTCGAGAGGAGAAGCGGACGCCCCGCATGCACATTTTCACGGACGGCTGCGCCAAGCAATACAAGGGCAAGCGGAACTTTCGGTTTCTGTCAAACAGCGTGCGGCAGCTCGGCTACATCGTCGAGCACCATTTCGCGGTTACGTCTCACTTCAAAGGCAGCCACGACGGCATCGGCGCCATAGCCAAGGGTGCCATGAAGAGAGAGATGCTCAGGCCAGGGGGTAAGCTCATCACCGGCGCGGCCGGCGTGGTGAACTTCTTGGCCGAGTACTTCAAGAGCATCGGAGACAGGACGCTAGCTGACTTCTTCGCCTCGTGGACGCCGTATCGCATTCGACGTGTGTATGTGAAGCTCGTCGGACCAACGGAGATCTAATCGGCCGGAGCCGGTCCTGAAGGGGATTAAAGGTACGCGGGACACTTACGTCTTCATCGGGGCGAACACGGCGAGAGACGCTTCCACTACCACCGGGCTCAGCGGAAACTCACGCATTCCAGACGTCATGAAGAAGGATTGGGAGTTGGCGAGGGGAACGGAGACGGGGAAGGTGGCGGGAACGGAAATGGTTGTGCTCACGGCGAGGAAGGTTGGGGAGGAGGAAGAGGGCAGCGTGCCCGAAGAGGGAGGGGCGGGGGGTGCAGGGGGCGGGGCGGGCGGCACCAGGAAGGGTAAGAGGAAGCGTTCAGGGAGGCAAGGCGCCCTCCGTGGCGAGCAAGAAGAGGAGGGGCGGGCGGCAGAGGCGGGGGGCGGTTCTGACGGCATCAGGAGGAGCAAGAGGACGACCGCAGTGAGTGTGAGGCATATCGCCCTCCTTGGCGGGAACTTGAAGGGCGGGGGCGGGGGGGCTAGAGCGAGCAGCGAGGAAGAGTCGTCGGAGGAGTCCGAAGAGGAAGAAAGTTCCGAGAATGAGGAGGACGACGAGGACGACAAGGACGACGAGCACGACGAGGGGGAGGGGGAGGGGGAGGGGGAGGAAGAGGAGGGCGGGGAGGAGGGGGGGGAGGAAGGTCCCACTCTGGCGAAAGAGACGGTTTGTGTCGAGAAGGTGGTTCTCCGGCACAAACTGCACACCGGTTCGGCCTCTTGTTTTTGCTCTGCCTGTCGCGTGCATGAGTACGAGCGGTGCTATACCAGGAGCAAGTACCCGGCCTGCGGCACGAAGCTCGAAGAGCAGGTAGTAGAGGAGACAGTCATCATGGTCACTGGTGTAGATCCTGTGGTTGGGGTGGATCCTGTGGTCGGGAGCAAAAAGAAGGCGAAGAAAATTGTTTTCCGGAAGGGGGCGACCACCTGCCAGATGGACAGGGTTACCGGTACACAGTTTGGGGTCTCATTCTGCGGTAGCAGCAAGTAGATATTATTGAGGGGCTGGGTGATGGTGCGTTCAAATCTTGGTTTGCATTTTTGCTGTATTTTGTGGAGATAAGCGCGTGGTTTGGTGGAGATTGTGCGTGTTGCGACTTGTAAACTTGCAGTTTTTCTGTTGTGCTTCAATCGGCGGCGGCGAGAAAAGTGTAACGTACAACACCCATCATAACTTTGTTCAGAACGCGAGAAAAACAAATCCAACGACGGATTCGTGATCCCCGCCCCAAAATTGACAAACCCTGAATTTTTCAGATCGATCTGACGATTTTTCAAAACCGGGGATATTTTGGCATCATCCCCGGTCTGTGCGTTTTCGCAAATTGGCGAGCGAAAAAGAGCATAATCTATTGAAACCCGGCCACTACCATCGAGTTTGTTTTTAAAATTTTGCATATCATCATAAGTATGACATAGGATCATTGTATTTAATTTTCAAATGTTGGGGAGGGGATGGTCACAATCCGTCCCCCCCCCCCCCAAATAAATTCGGCTTTACCGCGGAACCCGCCGTGAGCAAGCTGTTCGACCGACCGCCTGTAAGAGCACTAGAGGAGAGAATGCAACGCTTGACTCAACCCAATCTGAATGCTGTGCACCTGTTGAGGTTCCTCGCTCATCCCAGGTGCACGGTCTCGCCGCTACTGGCGCGATGGCGTGGATTCTAACTGCGTCAAGCGTTCGAGGTAGACTACTTACGAAGTACAGAATACCGCAGTTACTTGCTTGTTGTTGTTGTTGTTGTTGTTGTCTTCACAATAAAAACCGTTCCGATCTCTCGCTACACAGCACCTTAACCGTACTGATCCAACACTTGACGCGGTCCATTCCAGTCAGGGTCGGGAGAAACTTTCAATTGAAAATATTCCGGCCGTAGTCTACAGAGTACCGTTCCACCACGGAGTTCCCCCCCCCTAGTAGAGTTTCCCGCCCCCCCCCATTACCTTTTCGGCCTGGAAGCATGGTTTCGTTGATTGAGCCCCGGGGTAGATCGTTTTCGACCAAAAAAAAATCCCCCCAGGGTATTTCAATTTCCCCCCGGTGCTATTTTTCCCACGAAGGGTCGGGTCACGCAGTGATGATGATGCGTTTTAATTATTACCATGGTGCAGTGGAGGGCCCTCAACGCCGGTGTGTGCCCGGCGCATCGCCGGCGCTATTCTATGTACAGAAGGACTGTACCTCTTGTCCTGCCGGCTGTAATAACCGCAGTCGGTGAGTCAGTCTGTGCCCAGTAGTTTCACCGGCGCTATACAGGGCCACCGGCGCAAATTAACCGTCGTTATTGACGCCCCCCCACTGCTCTATGCCACAATTTTAGGTTTCAAGTACAACACAAAAATAGATAGTCTACACAGAGCTACTTCGAACCACCGGATGCCCAATATGTGGTGATGTCGATGGACGACGTTGTCTCCACGATGACCTACAACTCAAATGACGATGTTCTTCCTCAAAGCTGCAGCAACGAAGCCCACGACGTTGAGTGCGAGGTTCTCCTGTCCGCGAGGAAGGATGAACGAAGGAGGCGCCGAAGTCGAAGTCAGCGCGGCCGTAGTCCCGTTCTTCTGATAGACGTAGAATCGGCCAACGGTCAGTTGGGTGTTGCTCATTCCTATGTCCAGTAGGCGACGGGGTGGGCGTGATCAGCCGTGACTTATGTAGTTGGCGAACGCACGTCACGTCCGCTTTGCATGTTTGTGCTTGGGTTGGCGAGAGTCTGCTTTGGGATGCTCCTAATTGTGACCCGAGCAGAAGGCGGGGTGCGGATGCGCAAGGGAGTTCATCGGAATATGCTATTTGGGATCACCGGGAGACTAGGACGATTCCGACATTAGTGCCGTCACGTAGAGCACTCAGACCAAGAGGTGGACACCAACCAGAGTACGGGGGACACAATGGTCCAGTCAAGGAGTTATGTTTGTCGGGCGCACGGCCTTCAAGCAATATTGTCGGGATGCCGACATCTTTCGGGGGGGGGGAAGAAAATAACACCCACAGACGAATGTTCGGTCCGCGAGTCTGTTGCGATCAATCCGCGAAAACCACGGTTTCGTCGGCACCGTCTCAGTTGGAAGGAACAGGGGGAGCCGATACTACTGCGCGATCCACCCGGCCCGCGACCCGCCCACCCGCCCGGGGTGAAAATGTATTCCAAGCCCTAAAAAGTGACGGGGCCCCCAGCACCCAAAGGTACTTTGTTTCCATACAAAGGTCGTTTGTTTCCAACAAAGGTCGCTCAGAACATTTGCGTTGGGGGGGGCATTTGATAAACGATATGTACGCGGCCAGGACGACGACGATTGTGGTGGCAAAGCTATCTTACTGCTTTGTTTTCTTGTGATGCTGGTCTTTCGGGGTTAATGCATCTTCCCAGGTAGGCTTTAGAAACACAAGCCCTCCCTGTGTAGATAACAGCTATTTCGTCCTTGTCGTCACCCTAAACTTATTTCCAGACGATGCACTCGTTCCGTTTGTCTTGCACCGATACACAGAGCCAGTAATCGTCAGTGTGGATTGTGCTTTTCGTAGCATCGTCTTGTCCCACCAAACCACAGCCGCGCTTGTTCAAGAGGAGCGAGCCACGAGAGAAGAAGCGAGGTGTTCGACGTGCTGGAAGAAACGGTGGAAGCGTCCGAGTAGGATGTCGCGTTTTGTGTGGTTGGTGTTGGCTTTGGGCTGTACCCCGGGGGCAAGGGCGGCGTCGGCCGGGGCTTCACACAGCTGCGTCGTTCTGGTGGGCGGCAAAATCAAGGTATTTGCTTTGATTCGATTGCGGGTGGCTCTTGTTTGCACGCGAAACCCAGAGCTTGTTCGTACGTACGTGTGGTCATTATTAGTTTGTTGCATTGCCAGGCATACATATGAGTTGATCCGCTTTCATCCACCAGCATGCCGCCTTCCACCTTGTCTCCCGAACTCCATCCTTTCTTGCGATATCCGCCGGCATTGTCTCTCTTTGTTGTAAAGTGCTGGGGTGAGAATTACTGGGGCCAGGTAGGCCAGAACGACAACCTCGTCCGTGGAGATGACGCCTCCGACATGGGCGACAGTCTCCCGTATGTTCCCTTGGGGGAATTCGAAGCCAGCTTGGTCGCCTCTGGGAGCGAGTTCAGCTGCGCCCTCGCCGTCGACGGGGCCGTCAAGTGCTGGGGCCGCAACAGCTCCGGCCAGCTAGGCTTGGGCGACAATGAGACGAGGGGTGGGCAGGACGACGCGTTCGAGATGGGGGACAACCTACCCGTGCTTGACCTGGGCACCGGCGTCGCCGTGGAAAGCATCGCCCTCGCGGGCTCGCACGCATGTGCTGTACTCGCCGACGGGAACTTGAAGTGCTGGGGGGAGAACGAGGGAGGACAGCTAGGTCTGGGAGACACGTTGACCAGAGGGAACGCCATGGGCCAAATGGGAGACAACCTCCCGTTTGTGGACTTAGGGGACGAAGTGCTTGTATCATCGGTTGCTCTAGGGGCGAGACACACGTGCGCGGTAGTCGGGGACGGCGACGTGAAATGCTGGGGTGAGATAACGCCTTTTGGCTTGCAGCAGCGAAGAAGGAAGGTGGAACATAACAAGTGTTGTTTCCGTGTGGTCCTTGCTCGTGTGCGACCCTGGCTGGAGGGCGAAAACATAGTATATTATATCGAGAGGAGTGCCAATGAGCTCAAGATTGTACGGTAACACACACATCGGCAAATTTGTTTTTGTTTTTTGCCAGCATCCGCGTACTGTGCCTCCCCGGTGATGCTTGACTGTTGTTGCGGCCGGTTGCAGGCTGGAAGAAAGACAGTTGGTGACATCGTTGTCAGTTTTTGTGGTGGTGTTCGCGCTGTGCATGTTTTGCGTGGACAACACCCGTGCCTGGAAAGCAATTCGATGTCTTTCTGTGCCGTATTTTCGCACGCCAGGTAATAACGACGGTGGCCAGCTGGGTTACGAGGATACGGCTGCGAGGGGCATCGCTGTCGGTCAGATGGGGGACTTGCTACCTGCGGTGGACCTTGGAACGAAGCAGAGGGCAATCGCAGTTGCGGCCGGATTCTTCCACACCTGTGCCCTGCTTTACACGGGTGACATCAAGTGCTGGGGTGAGTTGATGAACTGCATGTGCGATGCCCATCCAGAAAAAGATATGGCCCGTCCATCGATACTGTCGACCGACACTGTCAGCGTTGATATACAGTAGGTGGCCCGATATAGTGGCATGTAGGGGCAAGGGGAGAATATGCCACTATTCAGGTCAGGGCCATCTTTCGATATATCGGGTGTATTTTTATAGATTGTGACAACAGATTTAGATTTTACGCCACTATATCGGCAGTTCCACATTTCAAGTTGCCACTGTATCGGGCCAACTACTGTACAGCGCCCGCTACTTTCGCGGGTGCATCCGCGGAAGCCTGTCGCGTGCGACGGGAGCTCCCGCGAAAGTCGTAATGATGGAAGTGCGGAATAGAGGAATGTGGAAAGCCGGGGTTAACGGCAATTGAACCGGTGGAGCCAGAAAGATTACAATGGGTGAGCCACGACACTCTCCAGAACGTAGGCCAAAAATCGTGTGAACAACACGAATGGTCGAATGGTGGGGGTAAAACCTCTGTTGTTATTCTCGTCAAGACGCGTTGTTAGCAGGTACAACGTCGTCCGAGGTAAAGAAACCACGAGAGAAGAGGGAACGTCGGCACGACCGTTGCCAACGATCAGAGCTAAAAGCACCAACACCTGGACGGCTACCGCAATCACATGTGTTGCAGAAAAATGAAAGTTTGCTGTCTTAGACAGAACATACTGTAGTTTATTGTGCACGGAAGAATTCGGAACATCTCCCAGATCAACGTATGTAGTTGGGTTCTTGTTGGGCCGCCCTGGAGGCGTGTTGGTTCGGATGTCTTGGTTCGGTTTTCTGGGGTCCGAAACAGAGAAAGGTCTCACGGAGTTCTCATTCTGCTGCCTCGCTGCTCCTGCAGCAAGATTTTGATGGACGCGTGTCCACTGGACCCGAGGCCCACATGTTGACGAATGTACAGTGTGTGACATGCAGCCCGTGTCGGAGGGTCACGCGGCATTGGAGGGCAGCAGCTAGCTACATCGAAGTTCGGACCTAGCTAGCAGACATTCGTAGTTTTTCTCGAGGGGTTGCGGGACGAGGGCAGGATGGTGATGGAGCACGCTCGGCTGGAGCGCCCAGCCGAGGAACTGTTCACCGTCATCTTGTGATGCATGCAGAGGCGATGCACGATGTGACAACGAAAGGGTTCGTATGCATCCGTGCGTGCAGGTTTTGGATCAAATGGTCAGCTAGGGCAAGGCAGCAATGCCTCAATCGGGAACGCCGTCGATAGCATGGGCGACAACTTTGGGCCTGTAGATCTCGGCGCTGACCGAACGGCCATCGCCGTGTCCCTGGGGGGGACTCACTCATGTGCAGGTTTGCCCGTTTGTTGTTGTTGTTGAGATTTCGGTTCTTCTTGTTTTGTTTTGTTTTCCTCTTCCCGTTGCTTTACCAACGCCGCGAGGAAACAATCGCGTGTCTCGTCAGTGATTCTCGTTTCTATGAAAACACGCGAGCGAGCGGCTGTCTCGTTGCCGGTTCTGTCAGGAAGGCTCCCTCTGTCTGTTTGCCATTGCAAAGGGTTATTTCACCACAACCCACTTGTCTAACCCCCTGCCCCCCCACCCCCGCTTGCACATGCTGTAGCGTTAGACGATAGCACGGTGAAATGCTGGGGCGGCAACTCAGTGGGGTCACTGGGACTCGGCGACTCGCTGAACCGTGGATTGGGCCCGGGCGAGATGGGCGACAACCTTCCGACCGTAGGCCTATCCTTCGGTCCTGGTCTTGGAGCGGCCTCCAACGTTTTCGCCGGGAGATTTCACACCTGCGTCTCCGGAGCAGAAGGGGGTTTGGCGTGCTTTGGTCTCAACGCAGGAGGGCAGCTGGGATCGGGGAGTGATGAAACCAATATCGGGGATGAACCCGGAGAAGTCAAGGAGTTAACCTCGATCGATTTGGGGGCGGGCGAGGTTGTGTCCGTCCCAGACGCACCGGGCTTGGGCGTGGCGTTAGAAGGTCAGACAAGCCCCCCACATGGAAGTGATGCTGGTCGTGAGGTTGTCAATGTCGTATGTATCTCCGAGCTGTGAGGTTTTATGGAGCACAAAGAACAGTAAGTGGTAGGGTTCCCTCATGCTTTCGGTCTCATTGGTGCCACGTTACTCTCCGCCGTCTGGTCAAAAGGTGGGGGGTATCGCCCTTCCAGACAGGGAGCTCTGAAAGCTTCATGGGCTTACACAGGGGCCAATTTAGCACTTTCGAAGACATGTATTATAGTTGCCTGCTCGGCAGCAGACTACCATTTTCTCGGGATGCCGTACAAAACTTTTGGGTTGTTTGTTCTCAACCGAACGCCCCTAGGCAGCTACACTTGCGGCATCCCTCGACACACGCAAGCGGATCGCGCGTGGCCGAAGAGAGCGAAACCTGGCAGACGGGGTGAAAGCCATCCGTCCACCGATGGCCGTGTTCATGTGGTGCGCCTTGCATGTCTGATTTCCGGGCCTCCGGCGAGAGGAGCGCGCTGTGCATGCTCTCCCGGGGTCCTCCATTGATACTTGGTCCCCTATCGATTGATGAGAGGCCAATGAACTGTTGCGAATACGCCACAGCGACAGGCGATGGTGACAGCGAAGGAGCAGGCGATACTTTTAGTTCGAGCACGGTGATCGCTCTCGCAAGCGCAGCCGCCTTGGTGTTTGCCCTTGTGGCTGGGGCATTGCTGTGGTGCTTGTGCCGACGCAAGCGGCAGCAACGAACGCCCTCCACGGCCGCTGCGGCGGCTGGCGACAACATCGAGGGTGCCACGGGGAACGCGGAAGCCTCAGCACAACCTCGGGACGCAGGTGAGAATGAATAATGTATCGCCTCCGTTGGGCGAAGGTTCACTATGTCATTCTGATGGCGTGTGCAACCTACGCATCCGTCGTCGACCTCTGGTGGGCCCCGACCACCCCGCGGTTGCTGGGGGCTGGGGGCTTTGGCTGATATTGGACAAAAGTTGTTTCCGGATAGTAGTCTCTCCTGCGGTGCTTCGATGGGTCATGCTTCGGTACCCGGCTTGAGACTCTAACGAACCAACTGCTTCCTCAATATCCGCAGGCGAGACCGGAGGCGGCTCGACATCGGGTGACGGAGGAAGCGATTCTGCTCATCCGACACAAGATATAGCCGCGGCGCGTGCGACATCGTCTACCGGGCCTTTGCGTCCTTCTCCTCCTCCCGAGAGCGGAGACTCCGAGAATAGGCCTGGCGGTGAAGACCCAACTCCACATCATCAGTAGCTTGAAGATGCTGCTCCGTGCGATAGCGGTGTGGATTCGCGTGCGCCTGTGCCATCCGTATCTCCACCCTCGGCGGCTGAAAAATCGAGAAATACCGTACCGCCGCGGGTGCTCGCAGAGCAGGACGGTGCCGGCGTTGATGCCAGCAAACTCCAACTAGCAAGGGGGGTACGAAGGTCGAGATCGAGGGGCATCCGGTCCGTTCCGTGGTGGGGAAGCGGGTGGAGTGAGCTCGGCGGAAAACACCACACACACGAACGAGCGCCCGAAGGAGCATGGTGAAGTCGTTGCGCATGACCGTGAGGCTTGAGCCGGCAGGCATGATGACGTCGTAATAACCGCCGTTTGAGGCCACACATGAATCGGCTGGTCGCTCATCGAGTGAGCGAAAGAGCAAGGCCGGTGTCGAGTTTGGTGCGTGTGTTTGCCAACCGGTGAGGTGCCCGACGAGATGTACTTGAGGGTCAGACGGTTCCGTTCGATATCTTATCATGCTGGAGCGGGCGGGCAAGGTTGGGAAGGCGAGCGATGCAGAGGTATCATGCCTATCTGATCTGCTCCACAAAATGAGCTCCTCCGCTTTCCAGTAGCCCTTGCCTGAAATGTTCGCTTGAGCTTGGGAGCTCAACAACTCGGTCGGGAAGGACTGAATATCCTTAGCCGCGGAGTCTCTTCTCATTGGTTCTGTAAATAGTCGTGTAAGATGGATCGTTGCGACTGGTCGAAGGGTCAACCTTGCCGCAGCATTGAAGCATGCTGTACAGTACACTCTATGCCTCTCTGCGTGTGAGCGACGTGCTTGGGTAGGCAGGCCACGTGTCTACTTGGATGAACCAATCGCATGAAACAAGGATGATATAACCAGCGGAGAAGTCGTGTGCGTATTGATCGAGAATTTGTAAGGGACTGCTGGGCTGGGTTGCTCGGGGAAAGCCCTCTAACTCCAGCGAGGTCTGTGAACAGCTAACTGAGAGACGTGACCGGTCGGTCCCGATCGTGCGAAAGCAATACGAACTGCAGTGCCCCAGAAGGCTCTTCGTAAACAACAAACGGTGATATCGTCTCCGGTTGTTCGATAGCACTAGAGACGGGGCGGCAACGGGAACCGCAGCCAGGAGGGTGCGACAAAGAGTACGCAAGAAAGGGTGCATTTGTGCGTTTTATGTACGACACGCAACAACCCAAAAACGTGATGGATCCAATTCTCTCACAAAGACCACCACTACTCCGACAGTAGGTGTCTAAAGCATCGAAGTGTCGCCAACAAATGCGTGCGATGGTCATTTCGCGTGTTACACGCGGAACTACTTTGGTTGGGCACCCCCTCTCGTCAACCGAGGGTCAGTGCTCTGATCCAACAGGCAAAATAGACGCGCCGTCCTTCCAAAGTGAAGCAAACGCAGGGACCTGGCTTCCTTCTGCACGCTACTACATACACGCACGATTTGGTGGTCGAAACACGGGGGCCTAAAGACATAGGGAGACAAACAGAGTACCAGCGACTTGATTTTGCTAAAGCGAGTTGTTCATACACGTGTCGAAGCAGCTTCTAGCCCCTGCCAAGGAGGGGGGAGTGAGCAACCCAACCAACAAGAATGAGCACCACTTCACGCCAACGAGGGAAGAAGACAAACCACACGGTTTGCACAGAAAAAAAATATCTTTACTCCCGTGTGACTGACTCGGATACGGTAGCTCGAACGCAACCTGGGGGAGATCAATTGTATCGCCTCCCCGGCACCACCAGGCCATGGGTATGGGGGGCATCCAAGCATAATGCAGAGCGCTACTCTCCGCCGTGTCGCCACGCTCCTCCCGCAACCGACTCCGACACGGCCGCGTGCATCACCCGCGGCATGAGTTCCTGAAGCCCCAGCGGCTCCGACACGACCCAGCCTACTCCTGGGTGCCGCTTCGCGGCCGCGACCATGAGCGCCGGGATGTCCGACGTAACGTGCCGGCCGGGGCTCAGGAAGAACGGGTGCAGGACTACCTTCTGCGCGCCCGCGGCCACGCAGCGGTCGAAGGCTTCCTCGATGCTCGGCTCCGCGAGCTCCATATGTGCCGCCTACATACGTGTGCGAAGCGGGGGGCGCAGTGGAGTGGGGGGGGGGGGGGGGGGG